ATCACATGACATACTTCATGTTTTCCGAGATCATGGCTGAAGAAAGATGTTACATATCCTTAGAGAATTACAAACATAGCTATTAGTCCCGGAAAAAAGTTTCTCAAAAGAAATTGAGAACTGGAAGGGAGAACTGACATGTTCCAAAGTACACAGAGTTGTTTAAGCAGAACTGAAGTCAGAATATAGTTTTCAATATAATACCTTTTTGGTACAGAGAGTCACATATTCAGAGGAGAAAAAATAATAGTAGAATGATACTTTTTTGGTGCCTTAAAATAAAAAATGACTTTTTCTGCTCAGGAAGTTGGTACAAGTTTACTGTAGAAAATTCAGGAAATGTAAAAACTTGGTTCCCATCAAGTTAATCACGATTAAATTTTCTTCCAGTTTACACACACACACACGCGCACACACACACGCACAACCCCCAATACCAACTATTGTTCTAGGCAAGAAATAGAAAAAGTACCTGTTTGAATTTTGAAGACAATAAAATGAAGGGACTATAGATTTAAAGGCACCTCTAGGGGTGTTGGAACATCCAAGGACTAGCATCAGAGGGCAGGGGAAAGAAAAGGTATATTGGAACTGGGGGAGAGCTGGAACTGTGGTGGAAGAATAGGCTATAACCAAACTTTCCCCTTTCGTCATGAGAATTTGAGCTGTAGGTTATTTTCTAACTGTTTTCCTGGCAATTTGATGAAGCAACTTTATTTATCCTAAAAAATGGCCTTTGGATTGGGAGAATTCTAGAGACCTGAAGGGAAAGCCATACTTTGGGCTTCCCTAAGTGCAGTGATTCTTGTGGCTGGATATGTCCCTTGCAACAGCTCTGGATGCTGTGTCCTGTGGGTCATTTCAAGAGGTGATGTTCCTGTGGGATATGAAGCCTGTAATTCAGAATAGTTTCCTTGCCCCTTGTACCTGTTACAGACACCGACTGCAGCAAAAACACCCGCTCAAGACTAGACCTGACACTGTCCTGCTGTGTTTCCTGACCTATATCCTTCTGAGTAGACTGGCAGTAATTATGACTTTGTTCATCTTTGAGGATAATATCCACTTGAATCTAAGAAAATCCTCCTGATAGGCACCACAGAGATCTAGAACTGCCAAAACTGTAATGCCAAAATAAGGAGAGAAAGGGAAAATATCCTAATCTCTCTTTTCTTCTGACCTTCAGACTTCTAATATTCCTTCCCTCATGTTGACTAAACCAATCCACAGGATGGAGGTGAAGAAGACAACTCTGCTTTTCCCTACAGCTTAGCATTCTCGTGTTGACAACATGCTTAAAGCTGCAATGAACAGTTGTGTACAAGACTTTGAATCATACATTTTAAATTCTCTCAGATAGATTGATAGGAGTGGAGTTGCTGGGTCAACATTTAACTTTTTAAGAAATTACCAAATGTTTTTCCAAACTGGTTGTGCCATTTGTATTTCCACTAACAATATATTAGATTTATATTTGTTTCATACCTTTCCAATATTTGGTGTTAACAATTTTTTTCATCTGGATCATTATAGTGGGTGTGTAGTACTCTCTCATTGTGATTTTAACTTGCATTTCCCTGGTGACTTACTGATGTTGAGGACTTATATATTCTGGGTACATGTCTTTTGTTCAATTTTTGTTTTAGGATGTTTCTTCTCAGTTTATGCCTTGTCTGTTTTCTTAATGGTAGCTCTGGATAAGCAAAATTTAAAATATTGATGAGATCTGATTTACTTATTTTTTTTTTCTGTGACTATGCAAATATTAAAAAAATCATAGTTGTGTGTGGGGGAAGCAAATATTGTTTAAAAATGAACAATGATGTTAAAAAATAAAATTTGGAGAGAAGAAACCTCCCCCCCCAAAAAAAAATCATAGTTGTATACAATTTAAATGATGTCCTTTTTTATTTTAAAAACTGATTTGAATTTAAAATTGAAATCTAACTTGGATGTTTTTTAGATCACTGGCTTTAGAGACTGAATGTTTGTGTCCCTCACAATTTCATATGTTGAAACCCAATTCCCAGTGTTCATTTGGAAGATGATTAGGGCAGAAGGGTGGTGCCCTTGTGAATGGAATGAGGGCCTTTATAAATGAGGGCCAGAGAGTTCCCTTTCCCTTTCTTTCATGAGTGGACACTGTGGCAATATGACTGTTTAGGAGCTAGGAAGCAGGCCATCCTGACACCAGATCTGCCAGTGCCTCGATATTTAACTTCCTAGCCTCCAAAATTGCGAGGAATACATTTTCAGATTGACAACAGCAGTGGGGAGAGAATGAACAAGAAGTTTAGTGCATTGAAAGATGATGACAATAGGGACCATGACCAAAATGAAGAAAGCAGGGTGGTGGGAAGGAAAAAAAGTGAGACAAGAATCAGAGCAACAGCAAGAGGAAGACTCTTTTCCCTGAACCAGCAGCATCCCCTGTGGTACAACTACACTTTCTGGTGCTTCAGGAGAACCTCCTGTCATCCCACCAGCTACCAGCTCACAAAACTGTGAAAACATTGTCACACAGATGAGCACCTTTGCCTCTGTCGGGCAGTTCTTAAGGTTTTACAGTCACATGGTATGTCCCACGGGACCTGACAGGCCACAGTGACTTCTACCTCTTTAAAGAAGGAATTAAACCCATATGGAGGGTGATACAAATAAAAATAGTGGCTCATTTCACTTCTGAAATAGTGGATCATTTTACTTTGAAAGAGCTTGGCATCCCATTGTGGGAGAATCTCATCTTGAACATGTTGGGGGAGTAGATCATGGTTGAGGAGGAGATTTGTGGGGCTGTGGTCTCTGCTTCTAGGAGGGTATTATTTCAATATGAATAAAACTGTCAGTCATCAAACAACCACAATCCAAATCTGGGATACTCCTCAACAAGTGCTTTAGCCTACCTTGCAACACCATTATGGAATAAAAACCCCTCACTAACAGCATCAAAATGTCATGCAGCCTAGCCCCCCAAAGGATCCTTTTTTTAAAATCTCTGGAAGCTCTAATTAAATGTGCCATGACTCTCTCCCTGTCTGAATGGCACCATCATTGGAGTCTTGTGTTCTGTTGGCTGCTGCCTGGAAGACCTTTCTGTCCTGGACAAGAGGAGTTGGAAGAGTATGTTCTGTCTTAAGAACAGTGTGAAACATAGCAGCTACAACAGTTGAGATGATTTAATAATGGTGCTAACCTAAAAAATACATTTTTAGTGTTTATAAGCCATCCAATCTGTATTATTCTGTTATAGCAGCTCAAACAGACTAAGACTATATTTTGCTTCATAATGGGTGTATCTTCGTAAAAGTTTATAAAATTCTAGCTGCTTAGATTTGCAAAGAGACCTCATTGCCATCTATTCCACACTCCTCCATAATATTAGATTTCCTTCTTAAAAATATTCCTCACAATTATTCACCTTCTGGATGCTTCTAGAGATCAAATGCTACCAGAAAAAGTCCCCTTTTGGGGAAAAAGAATTTGTTAATGAATCACTTCCTGAAATTGATGTACTCTTTTAATAGTCTCATTAAAATTTTATATAAAATTAATTTTTTGAAATGTATGATTGGAGTTCTGAGAACCCAAATTACACTCTATTGGTTAGAGCTTACAAATTCATGTGTATAGTTTATGTTGGGATGTAGAGTGGATACATAGGATGGCTGAGAAAATAATTGTCCCTTCCTGGTTGTGTCAGGGAATATTTCATAGTGGAAATGTGTTTTTACTGGGCTCAAAAAGTGTTGAGTCTCAACAAGGAGCAGGAGGGAAGAGCCATGGAATGGTGAACTAGCAGTATTGACTATTGTTGATACTTTGGGTCTGAGATCCAAGTAATGAGAGTTGAGACTGAAGAGATGGATGGTGTGGTCTGTGAAGGGGTGAAGACTTTATTCTTTTCTCTGGGCTTCCTGGCAAAAGGGTAGAATGAGCAGGGAGATTGGTGGCACCTAGACCAGTTAAGAGGCTCACACTTTAACTTCAGTCCTCAAGTAGCAGTTCTTAAGGTCGTTTGTCCCCAGTCCTTACCTACAGAAACAATTGCCAGGTGGTGCCTCTGTCTTTGTGTATTTTCACAGGCTCTGTGGGCATGTTTAAAGTATACTAGAATTGAAAACTACTGTTTCAAGTTAATAATGAAGAGTTAGTGAGACAGAGAAGGTCTTCAAAGATGTCATTTATGCCAGTCACCAATGTGGCCGAGTAGATGTAGATTAGAAGTTTAGTTTTAGGCATAGAAGTGGCTGTCAAGAAACACCCACTTTTTCACCTAGAAATAATATTAACTCTGAGAGAATATGATTCTGTCAATTCAAATGTTACTATTAATAATGCTTGCATAATACAATGCTCATTCTTTTCAGAGGACATATTCAGTTCACATTTGTTAGGCACAAAGATTTGTTGCATGCCTTTTGCGTAGTGTGATTAAAGCTTCAGCTAGATCTTGTTAATATTATCATTATTCAGACAATGAAATGGAAGCCCAGAGAGGTTAACTGATTTCCTTTCAGAGAAGATAAATGATTTCCTTAAGGACATCTTAGTCTGGAATCAGGTAGAGCCAGGATGCAAATCTCTTTACTTTCTTAAGTCCAGTTCTCTTACACTACTACACAACTGCCTCTCATAACATGGAAGGGCAGGATTCCCCCACCCCCACCCCATTATTTATCTATGATGAACTTCAAGTCCAGAGAAACTAATTTTTTTTCTCAAGGCCCCAAACTGACCAGGAGCAGAGCACAGGTGCCCGTTTCCCAGCTACTGCTCTTTTTACTGTTGTCTTTTTGCATTCCATATGGTTGAGTTTGTTTTTCTTATTTAATGTGCAGTTGGACTTACCTCACTCAAAGGAAAAGTTTAGAATTTTATATCATTTTGAAGGGGAGAAATATTGTTTCAGAGGCTAAGCCAACCTTCAAGGCTCAGTTGCTTTGGAGCAGTGTGTGGTGGTACATTTCTAGCCTGTGCATGATTTTTTTTTTCCCAATTAGCTCCCTGACCTTAATGGTGATAACAGAAATATGGAAGTAACTCCAGGAGATAAGGTACTTAGAAATACCAAAGAACAACGAGATGAGCAAAATCGACTGAGAGAGATAGATGAACAACTGAGAAAGATGAAGAAAAATGTGGTAAGTTTTTAATTTCAAATATAATTATTTAATGATCGTGTTTAAAAATGTTCCAGTTTCCTTGGACTGTTTTATGTGTTAAATCAATCAAGAAACCTGACATGGGAATGTGTGATTAAGAAGTTGAATAAAAGCTAAAAATAAGATTCATAGAACTTAAAGTACTATCATATTTAATTTATGTGATATAATAAGCCTGTGAAATACTTTCCAGACTCAGAATAATGATCCATGTGTCTAATATCCTGTGTCTGACAGTGATATAAATATTCTTTTTCTGTGGAGAAATTTAGTAGTAGTTCTCCATAATATCTTTACATATTGAACTTACAACTTAAATACAATTTTGGTTCACAAAATAATATATTACTACTTATTAATTAATTTTAATACATTCTAAATCCTTGATCCTATTTCATGTTTCAAATTGCTTGCCATTTGATGACATAGTATTGTTAATAAAAGGTAGATCTTAAATCAACTAAATTATGTGTTGGTTGACGTTTTGATCTGTTAGAAGTGCCTTATTATATATTATGATTTTCCAAGTACCCATAGGGTGTGTCCAACTGGATACTTGGATTTTACCTAAAATTAACCATAGCAAGGCTGAACTTATGATTCTACTTAGATCTTTTCTCCCAGGGATGGTCTTGTCATGACTATCAGCAGCATCGCTTTCTGTCTTCTACTAAATCCTGTAGTCTGGTTGCTCTTGATTCCTCATTAAGTGTTAATTAATACATCTAATTTGTTGTAAGATAGGGTCCAAATTACTAACTTTTAACTCCTCTGGTACACTGCCTTTCTTGTACTTACTTACTCTCCTTTTTTAAAAAAAATTTTGTTTAGAAGAACTAGGGTGTAGTTCTGTGTGATATGAGATATGGGGGGGGGGTGAGAGGATTCACCAGAGACAGAGTTGGGAGCAGAGCAAATGGATTTACTGAAATACACAGCTGAGGGGAGAGCAACGGGGGAGAGAGGAGAGGTCTGCTCCATCATATGTGAGTTAGCTCCCTGGCTGGGGATCGAACTCAGGCAGTCATGGTGATAGTGCTGAGACTTAACCTGTAGGCTACCAGGGAGACCCTTATCTACTTTTCATGATGAATATTGTTTTTGTTAATGATAATGTGATAAATTTGTTATAATCACTAAATATTTATAGGCCTGATATCTATAATCCTTCAAATAAATTATAATTTTACAGTTTAATGTTTTATTGTGTTCGCTTTCAAAAACTGGTATTTGGTTGACACATGTAAATTGATTTGTATTGTCTAAATATTTTAATTGCTGAGTGTTTCATGTTTCATGTCTGCTTCAAACTCTGCAAAGCCCCCTTGTACCTCATAGACTTCTAGGTATTTGATGGATTGGAAATAGGGAGCTCTGAGTTCTTGTTTCAGTTTTGTCAGTAGTCTGCTCTGTCACTTTGAATAAATCGCCTCGTCTCTCAGAGACTTGGTTTTGTTACTTAGAAATCAATGGAACTGGGCTACTGACCTCTGTTCTTTTGCCTCTGATTCTTGGCATACTCATTTTTGGTGAGTGATAATGTTATTTATAATATCTAATGCTCAGTTTTTATGCTTCCTATGTGTTTAGTATTGGTTAAATTTTCTATTGAAAGTTACTTTTGGGAAGTTTGTAATACTCTCTCAGGAGAATGTGAGATTGTATTTATATATTAAAAAATTAACCTACTGTTTACCAGCCAGAGTTTATATTTTCTGAACAATTGCTTATATTTTCTGAACAATTCTAGAAATGGTTATTTTTGGAGGTTTTTTTTTTTTCTTATTTTCTCTACTGCAGTGGAACATTGTTTCAAGATCTTTGATTTGGGTAAAAGAAGTCATTTATTGTAGCCAAATTGATGATTTAAGGTTCAAATTTATATCCTGTCGTAGGGGTGGAGGGGAGAGTGAGGACAATGACAAATGGACAGTGAAGGAATTCTGGCGGGTACTCCTGGAGTCACTTAGGTCTCAAAATTGATTTGTCAGTACAGGCTAAAAAGTGACATAATTCTGTTTTCCAGTGGCAGACTGCAGTTGCTGATACATATTTGTTTAGTCAAGAATTGGGTTTTGATTTAGTCTGTATGTAGTGGTGGTGGTATTGTTGGTGTTAGTGGATTAGCTATTAGGAGCTAGGTGAAGGAGGAATAACAAGTAAGGTTAAGGCTCCCAAATGTAACATGAAATTCAGAAGATATATGGTGGTCCTGAAAGCCAGCCGCAGAGGTAGGAAGTATGATTCATGGTTGCCAGGAGCAGAATATGTGAAGCAAATCTTTAGGATTCACTCCATATGCGTTAACAGTGTGATACAACTGATTTCCTACACATTAAGGGAGAGAGAAGCAAAATGGGTCATGTTTGGTTAATAAAATCACAAGGATGAGGAAGAGATTTAAAACTAGGTTAAAGGAAGCATTATTGATGGGGTTGAACATATTTATTTAGTTTGATGAAGAAAAGACTGGTGTTTGTTTTGTGGGTAGAGAAATCACACAGGTTAACTTCCCAATGACTTCTAAAAGGTTAGTACTTGAAGTGTTCATTTTATTCTTTGTAGTGTAGGGGAAAAAAACCAGGGTGATTGTGAAGGCACAAAGGGACAGATTTCTGATAAATACTAAGAAGAAAGAATAATCTCCCAGGGAATTAATTGTCTGTCCAGGGCAAAGTATTCAAATTCGGCTAAAGAGACAGGTATCACCAGGGTAACTGCGTGGTTTTGGTCTGTTTCCCCGGCACAAACAGGCAATTTGTATATGGTAAAAACACAGACGTGCTATGCTTTGAGCTCTCGTCTTATGTTGGGGAGGATTTGTGCTGAACCACTCACCGCTTGCCTAGCTGACTCTCAAAGGTGTTGACCATGGATACGAATTCTGCTGTCAGAGTAACTGCTTGTGTGGAAATAATTTGAAATGATAAACTGAAGAGACAAATGGAAACAGCTATATTCACAGATAGGCAACATGAGACAAACCCCACAGTCCTTCTACCCTTGGTCATATAGTGATCTCTGGTACCTCTAACCCCTCACTTTCCCATCTGTCTCAGAGAGTCACTTTCTGTTGTTCAGGGGGTGCTCTACAGGCTTCACTTCCCATTCAGTATTCTAACCCCACTCTGCTTTATATTATATCTCTTTGGTTATAATCCTATTATGTAAGCTCCTCTACGTGCAGCATAGTGTAAGGGCCAGATACTGGAGCCATTCAGCTCTGGTTTGAATCTCAGTTCTTTACTTACTGAGAGACCTTGACCAGGTGACCTGAGCTCTCTCTATTCAGTTTCCTCGTTTGTGTAACGGGATAGTTTTAATTATTACCTACCACATAGCAACCTCATAGGGTTGTTATGTAGATTGTTAGTTAATTAAATTGAATTAGTTAAGTTCCTTGATTTAATATATATAAAGTGCTTTGAGAAGGACCTGGCACATTTTATTAGTGTTGGTTTGTTATTATTAACACTATTAATAATGACATTCACAGCAGCTTGTTTCTATGATATGGAAGGGAGGGATACAATATAGAGGATTAAAATTGAAGATGGGAAGATACACCTTGGAGAGAATCAAGATGCTATTTTTTCTGACTCAGATAAGGAAGAGTGACAAGATAGGCCTAGAAGGCGGGTTTAGAGATGAGGAGGTGAGAAAGGTCATGCCTGAACATTCTCTGATTACTCGGTAAATTTAGAGATCAAACCATCTCATGAGAGTGAGAGGGTGGAGTAGGGATTGGGCCTTGGAGCAGGGTACGACGGGACTGGAATGTACCCCATGAGGATGAGAAAAAATGCAGCGGTGAACCATGAAAGCAGCCCAGCTGAGGTTGGAAGACCTAGCTATGAAGTGGAATCAGTCAGCAAATCTTCAAGTCTTCTCGGACTACCCTCAGAAATCCACTAAAAATGAAAATTGGGTGGTGGGTTGAGGCAGGGGTGAGGAGAGGTTGCGTATTTGTGTTGGAAGATCAAGGAGTTAAGGGGATTGGTGGTACCTATGAGACCATAACTGATATCAGTAAAAAAAGAAACAAGAGTATACCTCAGGTATCAGCTGGGAAGCTTTCACTCCTCTTTGATCTGGTTTCAGATGTAATACATGCAGATAATAGAATACCATACTGCTATCAAAAGAATGAGGTAACTCTGTGTCTCTTGGAAAGATGTCTGTAATGTGGTATTAAGAAAAAAGAGCCTATTGCATTAGACAATAATCAGTATGGTCCCATTTTCATAAGAAAGTAATAGGAAAATCCTGGAATGATATGTAACAAATGCCTAGCAGTGATTACTTTTAGTGGGCATGGAAGACAGAGGGGGAGGTTTACAAAAGAAATTCGTTTTTTATAACATACATAACAGCTGTTTAAAGGGAAATCTTTATTGAGATTATGAGTATTTTTATATTATTTCACATGCTTCTCTATACTTCAGCTTTCCATAAAATACATGTGTCACATTTGTGAACAGAGCTAATATTTGAAAGTATGGAAACATGCAGGTCAAAACCACAATGAGATATCATCTAACACCTCTGAGAATGACACATATTAGTAAGAACCCCCAGAAACAAGTGCTGAAGAGGATGTGGAGAAAGAGGAACCCTATTACACTGTTGGTGGCAATGTAAAAAGATGGAGCTGTTTTAGAAAGCAATCTGTATTTTCCTTAAAAAATTAAAATGCCATGTGATCCAGCAATATCACTGCTGGGTTTTTACCCAAAGGAAATGAAAGACAAATATTGGACATTTATATAACAGATGATTTGGTAAAGCAAAATACTTGTAAAAACTAGTAAACACAAATAGACAAAGTAAGGCTCCTGAGGTTAAGAGGTGGGGTGGGAAGAAAGGATGAAAGGAGTATAAGGAATGGTGGTGTGCAAAAATAAAAGAGAAAGAATTGACAGAGATTTTGGGCCTCGTGAACTGGAAGGATTTGAGTTGCCATTTACTGAGGCATGAAG